TTTTCCTCAGCAGAAGGCAGAGCCTGCTTGTTCTCCCACCCAAAGAAAAGCATTAGAGGGGGAAATATGGGAGGGATAACGATGTTTTTTGCTCACTGGGAAAAGCCCCTGACATTAACAGCTGCCTCAGCCCTTCTTCTCCCTCTCCGTTTGCGCAGGCCGGAGCCCAGCGAGGACGCGGCGGCCCCAGAGCTGCAGTGCGGCACTGCGTGTATTTGACAAGCTGAGTTGGACACTCAGTCTGCAGAGTGTCAGTTTGTCAAATACCCCAAGTGAGGCACCTGCCGAGCAACGCGGCGGCACGCCGAGGGACAGGCTCCTTCCTCCCTGGGTTCTGCTCCTCTCTGAAAGCCCGCGAGGTGTCGAACAGCCCGTCCCCTCGTCTGAGGCCTGAGGGACCACGCGGCCCCGCTCCACGCTGGGCTGCCCGCTTGCGGCAGAGCTGGCACCGTCCCTCTGCGCTGGGAAGGCAGAGACTGGGCCCTGGTCCGTGCCCTTTGCGGCCAAAGACAGTGCTCTTCTCTTCCACAGCATTAACCAGACACCTGTTCGTTAATCGTGCTCAGCTGACGAGGGTTCTGGCCGCCATAATCACAACATCATGGGTAAGGGCGGTGTTATTCATAATACAGAATCTTTTCTTTGGTCCTGTAGGAATATTTTTTATTTGGAGTACAAACTAATGAGGCTGCTAATTAGCCAGTGAAAAATGCCTGTTTGCTCAATCTGTTTTCAAATTAGGCCATGGAGTCCGTGCTTCTCCTTGAAGCCTTGCTGTTTGGAGAAGACTCCTTGTTTTCAGCTGGCTATTCCTGGTCAGCACTTGCAGCAAGGTTGCCTTTTGCTTTTCTTGCATTTCTGCTATTTAGTTAAAGTAATTCCCTCTAAATCATCCTACCTGAAGATCCAATGATTGGTAATCATTTTTAATAACTGACTTGGGACATATCAGATCTGCAGCTTGAGATATCTCAGGTGGGGGTGTGTGTGGGATGACAGAGGGGGAGCACCCAGCCCACTCTGACAAATCAAACGCTCTGAAAGCATTTACACTGGAAACTCAGAAAATAAGGAAAAAAAACCCCAAGATGCTACTGACTTGTTTTGGGACAGTATCAATAAACTTTAATACTAAGCTTTTGGGCTTTTTGTTGCAACCATTTCTTGCTAAATATTTTGAAGAAGTTGGAGTCTGTACAAAGCTGGGACCAATGAATGTATGTCATTGCCTAAGCAAATGGTTTGTGTTCTGCTTTTTGAAGAGGTCGTGCCTGTAGGGCTTGTTGTGCACTTCTGGACAAACAGGGTCCTGCTCGTTATGACTCACACTCCCGTGGTCTCTCTCCAGCACCTTCTCATGACTCACAGACATCACCCTGATCTTTATCACTGAGGTCAGCTTCGAAAGAGAACAAAGTCTATTATTTTAGGGTTTGTTTTGTCACCAGTGGATCCTTAATGTAGCAGGCAGCTGTGTGGACCCCAACCCTTTCTGCCATTGCAGACTTCAAGGTTTCGACAGACCCAAACCCTTCCACACCACAGCTAGCCAAGTGTTCATTTATGCTTTTCATCACCGTTTTCCCATGCACTTCCAGTTTTCACTTTTAGTAGATCTTGCTCCTCTGCTTTTTAAGCAACACCCCCCCCCCTCACCAGTTCTGTCTACATGGCTGGGGGGAAGGGGAAGAAAGTTAACCCCTTCCTCTAAGAACAACGTACCAAAATACAGTGGGACAAGTTCCTCTGAGACTTCCTCTCCCTTCTCCCTGCGGAGGAGGGCAGGTTCAGGAGGGCTCTGGAGGCCAGGGCAAACCCGGCAAGTGTCAAAGCCAAGAGGTCCCCCCTCTTGTACATGCACTTCAGTTGCTCTGGAGCACGGGGAGCTGCAAGTCTCATGACATTGTGCTGGCCGCTAGAAATAGTGCATTTTTTGGAGGCAGTGTAGTTTTGGAGCAGAAGCTGAGGTTTCCCTTCTGTGTTGGAGCAGAGCTGGTGCTCAGCAGATGAGTCACGTCACCGGGTGAGTGACCAGCGTGAGGAAAGGAGAAGTTCTCTTGTCTGATGGTGATACAACACAGCAAAGCCCTCCATGGCTGTCAGAAGACAAATGCTCTGTTTCCAACAGGTTTTACTAACAAACGTGACAAAAATAAAAATAATAAAATAGTCACACACTTGCTGCATATGGAGAAAAAACAACCTTGGCACTGGAGAGAAGTTTTTTGCATTTCCACTGTTCTGCTGCTCACGACCAGAGCAGTTTTGCTGCCCGAGCTAGCGGCAGCGCCAACCCTAGATACGCAGCGTCTGCTCTAGCTGGGGCAGCTGCTGCCCCGTTCTCACTCCTGCTGCCTCCATCCTCAGCAGCTGCTCCCAGGCCTCAGGTCTTCTGAGGAAGTTGCCTGGACCTCCTCAGAGCTGATCAGTGCTGGGGGGGAATCAAAAGTTGAAAAAATCATGGTGTTACATAGTCAATGAGGGAGCTTGGAGCTGGGAGCTTATAATGGCTGCAAATCTGCATAAAACACTAGGCTAATTGAAAACTAATGAGGATGACACTTGGGGATAAAGGAGAGTGCCAGGCCCTGTGTTTTGGCCTGGATCTGCTGAGGGGAGGATGGGGAAACTGAGAAGTTTTCAGTTCCATTCCCACAGAGCATGGACCTCGCACTGCCCGCGTCTGCCCTGTGTGAGCATGGCCGCAGCTCCCCATTCTCCTCATTTCTTCTGTTCTGACCCAGCCGGGTCTCCAAGGGCAGCTCCCACAGGCCTGCACGGAACTGCAGCCAACACGCTGCCCTGGGGTGAGTTACTTCCCCCGGCTGCGAAGCACCAGAGACCCTCACACAGGGTCTAATAGTCCCCGCACCTGCCTGCCAGGGCTGAGAGCCGAGACCAGCGCTTGGAGCGGGGCCTGGCGCAGCCACGGCCCCTGCCAGGACAGGCAGACCCTGCCCGCGGCTGCCTGACCCCGCAGCACGGCCTTTGCCGTGTCATCACCCCGTCATCATGCAGGCGGGGGCTTCCTCGCTGATCTTGCCTGATAATCACCTACTGTCCTGAAGAAGAAATGTTACTGATAATCAGAGAACTAAAGCTAAACACGAGGCTCTTCTTCCCAGCGCTCAGGCCATAAAAAGCTGCGTGAACCTGTGAACCTGCTGTTAGGCTGCTGACTGGGATGGGCAGGTCCATGGCAGCAGAGACAAAAGCTGTGCGGGGCCAAGTCAGGGCCAAGGAGGGGACTTGTGTGAGCCAGAGCTCATCTGCTTCCCCATGCTCCCCCAGCTGTGCTGCCTGGTTTAATAAAAGCCAGTAACAATTCCTACACATTTGCTTTGCTAAAACCAAGTGCTCCCCCACTTGTCAACCTGTAGGACAGAGAGGACGCTGCTGGGAGATCTCTGACAAATGGGGAGGGCAGAGCACCCCAGCAGCACCCCAGCACACATAAGGTGCAAATGATTAACAATGAGGAAGCAAAGCAGGCTGCTGAGTAACCGGCCCATCGCAGGAAACGCACTTCAGCTGGAGGCAGGAACAGCTAAGCACGCAGCCTTGCTGCTTTTATAAAAGGAACAGTTCTGTTTTATTTTTGCTAGAGATCCAGGGATGCCCTGGGATGGGTTTAAGCAGCAGCTGCAGACCTAAAGATGCCCAGCTCAAGCATTGGTGCCCCTAGCCAGCTCAGGGAGATGAGAGCTCTCCCGCTGACCCCAGGGCTTAGCCTGACCTTGTGGTGTCTGGAGCACCGTGGCTCGCTGGACTCTCCCTGAGGTAGCCAGTGGCTGCAGTTTGTGGAGGCAGCACCATGACCAGGACAGTCACCCCTGGGGGGTGCAGTGAGGCGGTGTCATGCCAGGAGCCTGGTGAGGGCTGACTTGATGCCCCCCTCCTGTCCTCTCCTCTTTTGAAGGGAAACCCAAGTCACACTTCCAAGTCCAACCTGCCTGGACTGTACCCCTGCCTGTTCTGTAGAATTAAATCAGGAGACCGAGAAAAAGCATAAATTTGCAAGCAACAGAAAAATGATGGTGCTGGATGGTGAAGTACCAAGGAAGTCAGAATTCTGATGCAACAAAATCCTTTGAGGGAAAGAAAATACGTTGCACTAATCAAGCACATTTTAAGGCATTTTACAGACATGAGCACTCCCAGTATCCCTGTACCACAGGTCAGCATTTACATCTCTGCTGTAACCACACTGATTGTGTCCCACAGACTGAATTGGCATCAGTCTGCTGTGTCCGGGGAGGTCCCTTGCTTGACTGTTAGTCCAAATGCCTCAAATTTCTCTCTGTTTTATAATGCCTTTGCCCCCACACTGTAAAAATAAAATGCTAGCATTTCCTTCAACACCAATTCTGCTTTTCCAGGAGAAAAACCAGAGGGTGGCAGTTAGGAGACTGGTCACCTATAGGGCCATTCCCTCTTCCTCTAAATAACGAGCTCATCTGGTAGCAAAAATTACATTGCTGGGACATCAACCCCCCCCCTGTGGTCCCTATAGCATGCTCTAACAAAAAAGTCTGGAGGAGAAGCAGGATGTACAACCAGTATTTGTCGCGCTGTAGAAGGCAGAGGACATCCATTCCAGCACAGCCTTTGGTTCCTGGCAGTCGGGATGTCCTAACAGGGAACACTTTGCTGGTGTTAGTGGCTAGCAGCTTTGCACCCAGCTGCACCTTGATTTGCAGGGCACAGGCATTCATGTTTCTGCTCCTTCAGATCCTCTCTTCCTCACCTTGATCCTGCAGGCTGCTCAGAAATTATTGACTCTGTAGAAGGAGGTAGGGAACCACCTGGCTGAGGGTTTCTGCACTGACAGGCAGGGACTCATTTGCCAAAGCCCACCAAGGTTGTGCAGTTCCCCTGGGTGAAAGCAAGCAGTGAGACGGGTATATTTCTCAGAGCAGAAGGCAGACAGGAATAAGTTTCCTTTGATAAAGTTTACTATTCAGTATCTGCAGCGCTGCACTGCTGCTGGTGTAGAGAAGTAGGTACTCTACTAAATTCTTTCTATTTCATATTCTGATTCCATTGCTGTGACAAGGTTCTCATACTCAGGATTTTTCTTGGTGCATATGCCGTTGTGGCCATTGTCTCTCATGGTGAAAGTGTCATTGGATGCTTTAGTCTTAGAATTTGTCTCCATGAGTAGGCACTTAGTAGGGACTTCCACATCATTCTCCACTCTCGTGACATCTGCAGTGCTGTGGCTGGAAGGAAGAGAGACGTTATTGAGAAGGACAGTTCAACCACAAGTCATTTGATTTACATATTGGTCAGAGACAAGGTCCCCCACGTAATCTGTGGAACAGCAAAGTTTGTATTAATCTAGTGAGGGCCTGGGAGACTCTGAAAGGCACTAGAAAGTAACATTAAAAGAATTACACCAACAAAAAGAAGCAGTAAACAGTTACGCTCTCATGGCATTCTCATATTAAACTAAAGAGTTACCAGCAGAAAGTAACTACCAGTAGTAACTGGGGCAAATGGCAACGTGTCAGGCTGCAGATGGCTGAGGGATGTCTCTGAAGAGGAGAGTAGTATGAAGGGATTAAAGGCTGAGATTAGGGCAGGGTGGAAGATAAATTCATATGATTGTGAGCAAGTAGGAATTGCACAAAACAATACTTGGATAAGCACTGGGACGTGTTTCTTAATGAGAAGGGCATGCACAAGGGGAACTTATCGTGAGGGAAGAGCTGAGAATTCCTGTCCTTTGCTTTGTGAAATAATGGCAGTAATTTAATACAGAGAAGGGTTTTCCCCCGGCATCTGCAAGGGCAGAGGGAGGGCCCTGGGGTGTCTGTCTCATTTTAACATGGTAAAGGACAGACTCTTGCTACCTCCTGCACTAAATAGTTCATGTCCTCATGCTGCTAAACGGACTGTCAAGGTATTCAGAACCTCCCCCTGCAAGTCAAAGCAGTCTTTGCTTTTTCACTGAGCACAGAGGCTTTTCGGATACAGGCATTGACCAGTATGTGCCCTCAGAGCCTTCTTGACATCCCAGGTGAACAACGATACTCACAAAGCAACTTCATAGACAGGTTCTGGAAAAAATACAAACAAGAAGAGTCGAAGATGTGCATCAACATATATTATGTGCCACGGGAAAAAAAACCCAACAACTCAGCTGCTTCCAGGGATTCCCACCTTCAGGAAACCCTCCCACCCTGCCTCTCCCTGGAAGGGACCGGCCGGGGCATGGGCGGATGATGGGGATGGGGGGTATCGGGGGTATCGGGGATGCGGGTGATGTCGGGGAGGGGGGTGGACCCGTCCCGCCCCGTCCCCGCG